TAGCAGGAACAGGGGGCGCAACCACCGAAATGGGAGGGGAAGGAGCGAGAGAGGCAGAAGTAGGGGCCGAGGAAGAAAGCGAAACCTTCTTACCCGCCGGGGAGGAGGAAGGAGAGGAGCCAAGCTTACGCTTCTGACTTAAAGAGACAGGTGTCCCAGCAACCACGTACCGGGCAACGGATTCTAGCATCTCAACAGGAGAGAGCACACATGACGGCCGTTTGGAGAGCGATGGACATCAGCCTGCACCGACAGGTGGCGGGAAGAGCCAAGAGATGAAGGAAGAGGATGGGAAGGAGGATCGGAGGGAGATGAGGAAGAAGACACAGGAGACACGACAGACCGGGTAGAAAGAAGGGGAATCCCAGACAGAGGACCAGGAGGGGGTCCCTTCGGGACAGAACTCAAAGGAATGGAGGAGGGGGCAGTGGGCGTATCAGGGTCCAAGGCCCGGAAACGGTTGTGAGTCTAAGGAGGGAGGGAAGGACGAGGAGAGGAAGAGCGCAACACGCGAGCATAAGAGATGTTAGCATAAGGCGGGAGCCGGCGAACCTGGCATCTCGCCTCAGGAGAAGATAAACGCTCCCGGTGCTTCAAGTTGAGGACGGCCGCCTCAAGTTTGTAATGGATACAGGCACGGGAGAAGGTAGGATGGGCCTCACCGCAGTTGAGGCAGCGAGCTTGGGGAGAAGTGCACTCCAACTTAAGAGTGACCTTCACCCCCACACAAAGGACAGAGAGAGACAGTCCCCGAGCAGTGGAGGGCACCATGCCCAAACCTCCAGCACTTGTTACACAGCCGAGGAGAAGGAATATACTCCTGGACAGAGCACCTAGCACCAGCAAGAATGACAGAGGATGGAAGGGTCCTACCATCAAAGGTTATCTTAACAACACGAAGGGGTTGACGGCGACGACCACGAGGGGGACGAGTAAACGAGTCAACCTGGAGGACAGAATGGCCTTGGGCATCAAGGATATGCCGAATATCATCGTGGCAATCCTGCAGATTCCGAACACCGGTTGCAACATAGGGCGGGAGGAGAATAGTGCCAACACTGGCATTCATCTGAACATTCTTGGAGACCTGAACAGGGATCTCGCCAAGGCAAGACAAGGCTGCCAAGCGGGAAGCCGCATCCTGAGAAGGAGCAGCAACGACACGTGTACCGAGACGAGTGGGGTTGAATGTAACAGACGCATCCACGGAATCAACAAGATGCCGATGGAGGGAGAAATCGTCAGGAGGCGCAGAATCAAGAGGGAGGAGATCAAAGTATTTGGCCCATGAAGTGGGACCAAACCAGGCCTGATACGCGGCAGTATGGGAAGGAATCGAGCGAGTGCGGCCGGGGCGCGAACGGCATTGAGAACCCCAAGAGAGAGAGGGGCTAAAAGGCGCAGTAGTCACAACGAGAGACTTAGCTGCACCAGGGGACGAAGTGGTCACCACTGGGGGCTGGAGGCTTAACCCAACCACAGAGGAGGGAGGGGAGCTGGGGGAAGAAGTCAGGATGGTCAAAGGAGGAGCAAGGTCGGGGCCCAACGCAGAGGGAGCTACAGAGCCTGGTCTTCCAATACAGGCCGACTCGGGGGCTTGGTCGCCCACCCCACGAGCCTGAGAGGGTACAACGGAAACATTTATCGACATAGAGATGAAGAGAAAGAAATTCATCCACGAATGTGGCCCCATACCCACCATGGAGCCACAATTAGAGGCAGGACACCCAACAGGAAGCTATCGCCGATCATGCCGGGGCCCCCTAGGGGTGTGTCGTGAGTATACGCCCCACAAACGCCACCTTAAGTACCGTCAGTCCGTCGAGATCGGGTTCAGTGACGAAAGGGGGATTGACAATAAAAGGTTCCCCTCGCTCGAGACGTCGGGTACTACAGTTCTACGGGTGCAAGAGTATGCCTCCTCAAGCACCCAGGCGTCAAAATAGAAGTCCAAAGAAAGATCCAAAACAAGCAAACGATCGGCAGGAAACAACAAGCAGATAGGAGAAGAGGGGGAGAAAAACGAAACAGAAGGAAAAGGAAAAGGTGCTCAGCACAATTGGAGAGGACGGCAGCAGGAGCACAAGGCTAGAAAAGGACAGAGGACTGCCCCAAGGAGCATCACACTCCGGCAGCCGCCCACTAAGCCCCCTCACGGCAGCAACGAGCTGAGCGGAGAGGGGGGACATTTTGCCCAAACCCCCCTGCAGTTTTCAAAATATCCCAAATATCCCAAATCCGACTCCAGAGCCATATTTTGGATCCAAATTATGGCTCTAAGCATATATTTGCAGTTTGAAATTAAGGCTTTTTATACCGAAAATATGCCAATTACTGAAAACGGCGATTGGTCACATTTTGCCCAAACCCTCCTACAGTTTTCAAAATATCCCAAATATTCCAAATCCAACTCCAGAGCCATATTTTGGAGCCAAATTATGGATCTCTGCACATATTTGCAGTTTGAAATTATGACTTTTTATACCGAAAATATGTCAATTACTGAAAACGGCGATTGGTCACATTTTGCCCAAACCCCCCTGCAGTTTTCAAAATATCCCAAGTATTTCTAATCCGACTCCGGAGCCATATTTTGGAGCCAAATTATGGCTCTCTGCACATATTTGCAGTTTGAAATTACGACTTTTTATACCGAAAATATGCCAATTACTGAAAACGGCGATTGGTCACGTTCTGCCCAAACCCTCCTGCAGTTTTCAAAATATCCCAATTGTCCCAAATCCGACTCCAGAGCCATATATTGGAGCCAAATTCTGGCTCTATGCATATATTTGGAGTTTGAAATTACGACTTTTTATACCGATATTATGCCAATTACTGAAAACGGTGATTGGTCACATTTTGCCCAAATCCTCCTGCAGTTTTCAAAATATCCGAAATATCCCAAATCCGATTCCAGAGCCATATTTTGGAGCCAAATTCTGGCTCTCAGCATTGATTTGCAGTTTGAAATTACGACTTTTTATACCGAAAATATGCCAATTACCGACAATAGCGATTGTCACAGTTTGCCCAAATCCTCCTGCAGTTTTCAAAATATCCCAAATATCCGAAATCCAACTCCAGAGCCATATTTTGGAGCCAAATTCTGGCTCTCTGCATATATTTTCAGTTTGAAATTACTTTTTTATACCGAAAATATGCCAATTACTGAAAACGGTGATTGGTCACATTTTGCCCAAACCCTCCTGCAGTTTTCAAAATATGCCAAATATCCCAAATCCAACTTCACAGCCATATTTTAGAGTCAAATTCTGGCTCTTAGCACATATTTGCAGTTTGAAATTATGACTTTTTATACCGAAAATATGCCAATTACTGAAAACGGCGATGGGTCACATTTTGCCCAAACCCCCCCCCCCCTGCAGTTTTCAAAATATCCCAAATATCCCAAATCTGACTCCAGAGCCATATTTTGGAGCCAAATTCTGGCTCTCTGCATATATTTGCAGTTTGAAATTACTACTTTTTCTACCGAAAATATGCCTATTACTGAAGACGGCGATTGGTCACATTTTACCCAAATCCCCCTGCAGTTTTCAAAATATCTCCAATCCGACTCCTCCACCCAATCACGACCCTCTACACTACCCCTCCACCCTAACACACCCTCCACCACCCTTGTAGTCACGTAATACAATAATTTATCACCCTGACCCCCACATGCCCGATGTATGATGACAAGTGCATTATTGGTCCTATAATGTCTATATCAGCGACCGGACGGCTTCACAGGATATTATAGGCATGACCGTCAGTTATATGCACAGCTGCACGGCACAGTTGCACGACACAGTTGCAAGACACAGCTGCACGACACAGCTGCACGGCACAGCTGTACGACACAGTTGCACGACACAGCTGCACGACACAGCTGCACGACACAGTTGCACGACACAGCTGTACGACACAGCTGCACGACACAGCTGCACGGCACAGCTGCACGGCACAGCTGCACGACACAGCTGCACGGCACAGCTGTACGACACAGCTGCACGACACAGCTGCACGACACAGCTGCACGGCACAGCTGTACGACACAGCTGCACGACACAGCTGCACGGCACAGCTGCACGGCACAGCTGCACGACACAGCTGCACGACACAGTTGCACGACACAGTTGCACGACACAGCTGCACGGCACAGCTGCACGGCACAGCTGCACGACACAGCTGCACGACACAGCTGCACGACACAGCTGCACGACACAGCTGTTAATGGAATTAACATGGGAGCATTTGTCGATTATTGTTAAAACAAGAGAATTAACACCAGTTATGATGCCGCTGTAAAAGCAACACTTGTTTAACACTTGCGGCAGCTGTCCGTTCCTCCAGCCAAAGGTTAACAAAGGTTACAGCTGCCAATTACCGCGTTAAGGGAGTAACGCAGCTGTTGTGGTGGGCATTATGCTGTCAAGGTGCCGCCTCACCCCCCCCCCTACCCACCGACAATAACTTACCCAACCATTTCCCTTCGTCCCTACCCCAATACTCCTCCCTTACCCCGTCCCCCCCTACCCCAATACTCCTCCCTTACCCCGTCCCCCCTACCCCAACACGACTGCATACGTTAGGACGCGGAAATGGCTGACAAGGAGAGGTAGTGGAAGTAGACGAGGAAAGAGGGATTGAAGGGAGGTTGAAGGGGGAGTTGAAGGGGGTAGTTATTGTTGGGAGAGGGATTGGGGTGGGTGGGGGAGATGTCTAGGGCTAATTTTCTATTATTTTCAGGGCGGGTTTTAAGCCTCTGACCGCTTGACTGTGTGTCAGTAATGACAAAAAGATACATAGTTGGTGGTGATTGGTTGACGGATTGGTGGTGTGGTGGGGGGGGTGTAATTAGTGGGGGGGGGGGGGGTTGTAAGTGGTGTGGGGGGGGGGAGGGGGGAGAGAGTAAAGGCTATGCATCAATTAACCATTACAAAAGAATGGGTGACAGTGCGGGTGTCCCATTTATTACCCCCCCCCCTCCCCCCTTACACACATCCATGTATCCGCCTGTTGTCGTCTGGGGCATGTGTCTTGTCCCTGTGTCGTGTCCCTGTGTCGTGTCCCTGTGTCTTGTCCCTGTGTCTTGGTCCTGTGTCTTGGTCCTGTGTCTTGTTCCTGTGTCTTGTTTCTGTGTCTTGGTCCTGTGTCTTGTTCCTGTGTCTTGGTCCTGTGTCTTGTTCCTGTGTCTTGTCCCTGTGTCTTGTCCCTGTGTCTTGTCCCTGTGTCTTGTTCCTGTGTCTTGTCCCTGTGTCTTGTTCCTGTGTCTTGTTCCTGTGTCTTGTTCCTGTGTCTTGTCCCTGTGTCTTGTCCCTGTTTCTTGTCCCTGTGTCTTGTCCCTGTGTCTTGTTCCTGTGTCTTGTTCCTGTGTCTTGTTCCTGTGTCTTGTTCCTGTGTCTTGTTCCTGTGTCTTGTTCCTGTGTCGTGTCCCTGTGTCGTGTCCCTGTGTCTTGTCCCTGTGTCTTGTCCCTGTGTCTTGTCCCTGTGTCTTGTCCCTGTGTCTTGTTCCTGTGTCTTGTTCCTGTGTCTTGTTCCTGTGTCTTGTTCCTGTGTCGTGTCCCTGTGTCGTGTCCCTGTGTCGTGTCCCTGTGTCGTGTCCCTGTGTCTTGTCCCTGTGTCTTGTCCCTGTGTCTTGTCCCTGTGTCTTGTCCCTGTGTCTTGTTCCTGTGTCTTGTTCCTGTGTCTTGTTCCTGTGTCTTGTTCCTGTGTCGTGTCCCTGTGTCGTGTCCCTGTGTCGTGTCCCTGTGTCGTGTCCCTGTGTCGTGTCCCTGTGTCGTGTCCCTGTGTCGTGTCCCTGTGTCGTGTCCCTGTGTCGTGTCCCTGTGTCGTGTCCCTGTGTCTTCCTTAGCTGTGTCCATCCATAGACAAGTTCTAATTGACATTAAACATCTATTTTTGTTACAAGTTTAAGCCCCCCCCCCCCCCGTCACCTGCCCCCCCCTGACCCCCGCCCCCCACTGCCACTGTTGCCCAAACGCTTCCCACCTCTTGTTCCTTATATTGTCTTAATTGTTTGATACGGTTATTTTCATTGCATCTATTTTGCATTTATTGCATTAGAAAATGTTAATCATTGAATAATACAAGTCTTCAACATATGTACAAGTCATATGTGGTTAGGTCAGCACTCCGGGCTCGCCATAGCCAGTGCTGCTTGGAAAGTTGTATCATTATTTACATCATTTTTTAAAGAGCGTTTCGCGTAAGTTTGGTGGTACTCAACCTGATTGGTGGAGACACACCTCACAATTGGCCAATCACCAACTCTGGTTAGATCAGTGGGGTCACTAACAGCTGGGCCAATCAGCGCGGCGGACTAATTCATTAACGTCACCTACTGACTCGGCCAATCACTGAAGCGGTTTAGATCAGTGGGGTCACTTAATGGATCTACCAATCAGTGAAGCGGATTCGATTGGTGCCGTCACAAAGTGGCTTAACCAATCAAAGAAGTGTTTGTTATTAGCAGCGTTGCTAATAATCTTTGCCAATCAACAAGGAGATTAGATTAGGGCGCCTGACAGCTGGGTGGACAGCGCTTCGGATTCGTAGTCCTGAGGTACCGGGTTCGATTCCCGGTGGAGGCGGAGACAAATAGACAAAATGTTTCTTTCACCCTGATGCCCCTGTTACATAGCAGTAAATAGGTACCTGGGAGTTAGTCAGCTGTCACGGGCTGCTTCCTAGGGGTGGAGGCCTGGTCGAGGACCGGGCCGCGGGGACACTAAGCCCCCGAAATCATTTCAAGATAAGCAAGATAACCTCACTAACAATCCTGGCCAATCAACAAGTGTATGGACAGAGCTTACAATCCTGTTACTATGACTTTTACCATGACCTGGATTCATTAATGACAAGTACTTAGAAACCTCTACATCATTTCTCAATCTTTGGCGGCATTGTTTACATATATATTAAACAAGTAATGAGCTCCGAAGCACCAGGAGACTGTTTACAACAACAACAATTAACTAAAAAGTTTACAATACTCGTAAACTATTTTTATAAATGTAAAGCCGCTAAAGATTGAGAAAAGATGCAGAAGTTCATACGTAAATACTTGATGAATCTTGGCTCAGAAGTGAGAAGTTATCTGCTTCTCTGCTTTCTGTGTAAAGAGGAGAACGAAGAGGATAGAAATTGTATATTTTACGGGACATCTAAACGATAGAACACAGGTGGAAGTTGAAAACAAATGAGAAAGAAGTGTCAGGGAGTAAACAAATGAGAAAGTAGTGTCAGGGAGTAAACAAATGAGAAAGTAGTGTCAGGGAGTAAACAAATGAGAAAGTAGTGTCAGGGAGTAAACAAATGAGAAAGTAGTGTCAGGGAGTAAACAAATGAGAAAGTAGTGTCAGGGAGTAAACAAATGAGAAAGAAGTGTCAGGGAGTAATGGTATGTGGCGAGGCTGTTGAGCAGGTGGAATGATCCTGAACCACAGGTGGTGGAAGCTGTTTGCATTTCCAGACGTCCGAGTACAAGCTGGTGGTAGAGATATGCCGGGTATAAGGGCCATGAGGCGGGGCTCAAGAGCTTGATCTCGTTCACAGTAGATGTAATCGTTCAAGCTCTCACACACACACTGGGGACCTGGTAGCCTGGTGGATAGCGCGCAGGACTCGTAATTCTGTGGCGTGGGTTCGATTCCCGCACCAGGCAGAAACAAAGGGGCAAAGTTTCTTTCTCCCTGAATGCCACTGTTATCTAGCAGTAAATAGGTACCTGGGAGTTGGGCTGCTTCCTGGGGTGTGTGTGTGGATGTGGTGTGGAGAGAGGAAAAAAAAAGTAGTTAGTAAACAGTTGATTGACAGTTGAGAGGCGGGACCAAAGAGACAAAGCTCAACCCCCGCAAGCACAATTGAGTACACACACACACACACACACACACACACACACACACACACACACACACACACACACACACTGAAGTCGTCCCTCAAAGCGTAATCGAAGAAAAACACTCGCCAGTTTCTGACTTGCAAATTTTTGCTTTTCAGTTTTGAACCTGTAAGATCCAGCCCGTGTTGAGCGAGAACCGCTTTTTTCCCCCAAAAAGTCTCCTCTTCTCAAAGCTCTCACCCAGAAAACACTTATACACGAAAAGGTACGTCTCACCTACCTGTGCGCTCTCTCATCTACCTACGCGCTCTCTCATCTACCTGTGCGCTCTCTCATCTACCTGTGCGCTCTCACATGTACCTACGCGCTCTCTCATCTACCTGTGCGCTCTCTCATCTACCTGTGCGCTCTCACATGTACCTACGCGCTCTCTCATCTACCTGTGCGCTCTCTCATCTACCTGTGCGCTCTCACATGTACCTACGCGCTCTCTCATCTAGCTACGCGCTCTCTCATCTACCTGTGCGCTCTCTCATCTACCTACACCCTCTCACATCTATCTACCTATTCCTTCCCTCTTCCGTCTAACCCCACCATCCCACCTTTCCTTTCTGTACAAAATTCATACCTAAACACACGAACAAATCCATAAGGGCCGTGATGAGGGTTCGAACCCGAGTGGTCTCAGACGCGCTCCAGTCGACTGTACGACGACATGGTCAAAAGAATTGCAACCTGAAATGCTACTGAACCCAAGAGGGTCCTGAGGTATCCCATGAAGGGTAATTCTTGTCTCTAGTCCCTTTTTACGTCTATTTTCACACACCTTTCGTCTCTCTATCCATTCCTCCCTCCCAGCCGGGCCTTGCTACTATCCCATCCACTATCCACTTGTTCTATTCCATCCACAATTGTCGTTTCTATAACCATCTAATTTCCATATCTTGAGGTTATCTTGAGATGATTTCGGGGCTTTAGTGTCCCCGTAGCCCGGTCCTCGACCAGGCCTCCACCCCCAGGAAGCAGCCCGTGACAGCTGACTAACACCCAGGTAACTATTTTACTGCTAGGTAACAGGGGCATCAGGGTGAAAGAAACTCTGTCCATTGTTTCTTGCCGGCGCCCGGGATCGAACCCGGGACCACAGGACCATTCCTCTTTTTTTTTCATTATACCACCCTATTCCATTTAACTATAATTCTCTGCCATTGTTAACTATTGACCTCATTCGTCCCTTCCACCTCCGTATTTCCTTTCCATTCTTAACTACTTTATCACTCCCTTCCTTCTCACCCATCCCTGATCTCTCTATCCCTTCATCCCTCTATCCATCCATTCCCCTCCCTTACCTTTCTCAACCATTGGCCTCCCCTTCCACTATCCCTTCCCAACCTCCCCACCCCACCCTACCCATTCCTTCCCTTTATCCCTTTATCCCTCTCCCCTATCCTTCCCCCTCCCTCCCCTCCCTTCTGTCTTTACGACATTTCGCTCCTGAACCAAATTATGACCTCAAATGGCCCGGAACGAGGCTATTACCCTCGGCTGTTCACACCGCTGCCGTCCCCTTGTTACAAGCAGCGTCCAAGGGGGATCTATCACCCCCTCTCCCCCACTTCTGACCGCTGCCGCCCCCCCTTTTCCCCTAGTTACAAGGGGATCCATCACCCCCCCCCCTCTCTCTCTCTCTCTCTCTCTCTCTAAGACAGCTATACTCAGCTAGCTAAAATAGGTACCCAGGAGCTAGTGACCTGTTGTGGGTGGCATTCTGGGGGTATGTCAGTGGTTGGCATAAGGGGAGAGTCGTCATAGAGGTCCCAGAAAGTCTTCACACTACAATTAAACCATCCATAAGGTGACTAAGGCGACGTGTGGTCAACCTCGTCTCGTCAATTCCTGTTGTGCCATGTCACAGGGGACACCAAACTGACGGTTTGTCCTCGATAATCTCATTTGTAGCTGCAATTTCCCCTGCCTGGTTCTTCCTCTAGCGTATATAGATCTATAGTCACTCCAGCCACTGGGGTAGCACTAATCGTCCTCTTCGCTAAATGTATCTATTTGCGCTACATATAGCTATTGTCGACGCTACTATGCGATGCGATGCAGGGAGCCGGTCGGCCGAGCGGATAGCACACTGGACTTGTGATCCTGTGGTCCTGGGTTCGATCCCAGGCGCCGGCGAGAAACAATGGGCAGAGTTTCTTTCACCCTATGCCCCTGTTACCTAGCAGTAAAATAGGTACCTGGGTGTTAGTCAGCTGTCACGGGCTGCTTCCTGGGGGTGGAGGCCTGGTCGAGGACCGGGCCGCGGGGACACTAAAAAGCCCCAAAATCATCTCAAGATAACCTCAAGATAACCTACTATCACTGCTACTGCTGCTATCACTGCTACTGCTGCTACTATCACTGCTCCTGCCGCTACTTTCTCATGCTGCTGCTCCTGCCCGTAGCGACATACGCGGCTACTGCAGAAAACTTCCACGTCTCTTAATTCGATTTACTTGGTTAATTTTAGGGAAGAAATTGTAATTTTGTGGCAGTAGGGCTTGGGGGGGGAGGGGAGGGAAGAGACAAGGGGAGAGACTGAGGGGTGTAGAGTATAGGAAAAGGGGTTGAGGGGAAAAGTTGAAACAATGGGGGGAGAGAGAGAGAGAGAGAGAGAGAGAGAGAGAGAGAGAGAGAGAGAGAGAGAGAGAGAGAGAGAGAGAGAGAGAGAGAGAGAGAGAGAGAGAGAGAGAGAGAGACAGAGAGAGACAGACAGACAGAGAGACAGAGAGAATAATAACCACGTGAAGCACGGAACAACTACCCCCAAGCGAGAGGACACACAACACAGCTACTCTTGGCTACACATTTCTTCTCGATGGATGAAGTTTGGAGAGACAAACGACAAGGGAAAAATGAAATGATATATAAAGCATCAGAGAGTGTGTGGGAGATGACCCCTGGGAGATGATGAGGCTGGGAACTGACTGGCTTTCTCTTACAAAGACCCTCGAACCACCACCAGTTAAT